TGGGGGGGGGGGGGGATTTTCTTCTGGAAACTCATTGTGGACAGGTGTGGCTAAAATTTGCTTGGCAAGTTTCATTGTGTTTCTCCTGTGCCCAATTATATCAAAATCTGTCCACCTACAGATGTGTTGTTTAATACGTAATGTAATTAACGCTAATACACTGATTCAGCATATGTTGATATGACTTGCTTGTAGTGACTTTTAGAAAGTATCTCAGTTGTGTATCAAATCAAACTTAGACTTTGTTGTTCTTAGCGAGATCCGAGTTTATTCGGAGACTGTGATTGCTTGATTCTTGATGCTCTTTCTACTGCATAAGTTATATCATGTTGAATTGTGCAATGACTGCAAATTATGAATTTGAAAGCATGTAGAAAGAATTGGTTCTGGCCTATTTAAGGTTCTCACGTTTGCCCGGAGAGACTCGGTCAGACTACAAAAAGCTCGGTCGAGATACTGGTGTCTGGCCCTAGGTTCAAACACAGGACCTTCCTAATAAAAACAGGAGTAGCTGGCATGTGTGATACAAATTATGAATAATTTTGGGAAACATACGAATATCAAAATTTCTGTTAGACAGTGCAGGTCCGCAATCAGAGTCGGTGTTAGAAGTACATGATTAAATACGTATTCACAATAAAAATTGACTAAAATACCTGTCGTGCTGACCTGCAGCCCCATCTTAAAAAGTACTGTACCTGCCATCACCAAATTGCATGCTTCAAGGCTACAGAAGGACTTTGCCCCACTTACCCTGTCTAAGTTAACAGTACAGTGTTGCTACACTGCTTGAATGATCTCTGTCTCTCCTTCGAATATTAGTATATGACAGTTTAAAATGTGTACAAGCTTTTCAAAGACATTTCTGAACAACATAAACATTTCGGTAATATGTGTACGCATAAGTTGAAGAAAGAAGATACTGTAAGTAAATATTTAATTGTATTTTGTAACGTGGTCCAAGTCATGGCTCAAAAAATCCAAGTGTATATAATATAAGAACATATACTGTATTTTCTCATTAACTAAAAGAGATTAATTGAGATTTTTTTCTTAAAACTTCAAGTACAATCCATGTGATAATACCCACTGAATGTAAATTCGTAGCAGGGAATATTTGTACCCATACAGTGAGGAATAATTTGAAATTTTAAATACAGGGAAAGATATTTTTATTTATTAAAATAATAAAATGGCATGGGTTGAAGTTAGAGGGCCCACAGAACATTGAACACCTCTGAGCTCTGCTGTTAGTGTTGCAGTGTTGTGTGGTTTTCCCATGACCTTGAAACTTGTACTTTAGCGATGTCAGGTATCAGTTACGCAATTTAACGAGCAACAACTGTGGTAGGTAATACAGCGAAACCTGCTTAAGATGATACAGGTTAAGACATTCTCCTATCTTAAAGGTTAAAGTAATTTGATTCTAAAATGTTCCAATTTTATTCTTTCCCATTGAAAAGAATTTATCATCTAAATTTTGCACAACAAATAAATGCCACTGAACTAATACAGTAGGGCACCGCTTATACGGCGGGTTAGGGACCAGACCCCCCGCCGTAAAGAAAACGATATGAAAGTCAAATGAATATCAGTAGTACACACATTGTGGCTGGTTTGATTTTCAATCCACACAACCAAAATTTTTTCCATGTCGGCAATAAGGCTATCTCTTCTTCTTATGACTTTGGAGTTCATTGGTGTGGCACTTTTAATTTCATTTAACACTTCCTCCTTAGCGTTCACGATGGCACTAACAATTTGGCGAGCTAGGCCTAGCTTACGTCCTATCTCGGGCATAGACATGCCTTGTTCACGAAGTTTAATCATATCTAACTTGGCATTTAAAGTAAGAGGCTTACGACTCCTCTTTTTATCGCTACTACCCTTAGACGCCATTGTAATTACACTGTAGTAACACAAAATTATTACGTAAATATACAGTTTGTAATAACTGGAAAATTGCCAGAAATACAGAGAGACGAGCGCAGAAAAGCTGTAAACAGACTGAATCAGCGACGAGAAAATGGCGCCGGACGCACTTCTCTGACTCGGCTGTTGAGCGCCGAAAAGCGGGGCCCGACTGTACTGTATTTTACCCACGTTATTATTTCTTTATGCAAGAACGTGTGTATTTTATTACTCACATGCATTCACCAATTTCAGATGTGCGGTGATGAGACGATACTCTGGCTTGGCCTCCGTGGTAAACACTTGGCAGACAGGGGTTACAGAGTGCAGCTTCCCCTACTTTTATTACCTTATTTACGTTTCACATTAGTGAAGTGTTCGTTTTAGAGATATTCATCATCACTATCTGCCTTAAAATTGTCTAAAGTAGTTTCTGAAACATTTAGGGCATATTTACTGGTAACTACAACGCAGCAGTCAGAATGTTATGAATCACGTTTCAGTAAGAATTATTGTAAAACGAAGCACACCAGATTTCCATTTTTACAGTACAGGACATTTAAATTTAAAGATTAGGTGCTAAGAAATTTAAACAGTATTTGCTAAAAAGAAATCTGCATAAAACTCGAAGATGACAAGTTACAGTTTGTAAGACTTTGATAATGAATCGTAATCACCGTCACACAGAAAGTAACATGTTGTTGGAAATGTGTTATGACAATGAACGTGTAGAGAAGCGTCATCAGAAGGAAAAGGTTCCTTAAAAGAATGAAGGAGGACATTGGTGAGTTTGCGTTGTAGAGTGGAATGATATAAAACTATCTAGCGTACGTTAATGGGAGCACATGGATTTACCCCTGTATAATGATTTTTAAGCTTCTGATGAGAGCCTTTCAAATTTGGGACAATTATGTGTCCCACTGAAGTCTCTATAGTGACTATCGCCCTAATGATGGCGGCGTCAGGGACCTATGAAACTACTACCAGACTGCACGGTGCAACAAACCAGATGACAGCCATCTTGAAACTACATATATTTGGTTAGAATGCTGTGGTTCCAGAACAAATGAGCATCCATCCCAGTGTAAACTCTGAACACCGTAATGGCAAATGGAAGCATCGTACTCTGACAGTCCGAAAAGAAGCATCCTCTGAGTTTTCTGAGGTGAAATTCATGTTGATTGAATGGCTCCAGAAAGTGTGTACTAAATAATTCTGTTAATGGCCCAGTTCTGAAAAAAGGGCAGAAGAAATTACCTTGAAACTGAATTGTATTTGGACTTGTCCGTAATTAAGTCCTCCTTGTGGGTAAATCACATTAATCAGGATACTTTTAAATATGTAATGTCCCTATAGCACAAAAACTTCACATTTTTATGAGGCTGCCTTGTTTGCTAGGACAAGAACATTTTGTCAAAGAACATGGAAATTCTCCTCTTCACTGACCGGTGTGCGACACATTCAAAAGATGTTTGAAACCTGAAAAGCACGAGAGCGGAGTTTTTCTTGTAAACGTCACCTCTGTGCTTCAAGCTGTGGCCAAGACATTATCGAGCCTGTAAAGCACAGATTTTGTGCAGAACTAGTTTTGAGATTTCTGTAGAGACAGAACTGAACTCCGGTCTGTGCTGCGTACTTGCAGTAACTCAGCCAGGAAACTTGTGGCTTTGAGAAGACCGTGTTCAGTGACACTGCAGTATGGCGATGTGAGATGAGGAAAGCAACAGCGATGTTCTTAAGATTCTACACATCAGGATTATCTTTCAAGAGTTTGATCTGCATGACCAGATGGATGTCAATGGCTGATGGAGAATTTTATGTCCAACTGTTGAAGACTGCAGACAAATCCCAGTTTGCTGTGAAGTAATTCACTGTTTGGAGAATTGCCGTCATTCTCCGAATGCAGCATTAGTGAAAATCCACTTTCTCTGTAATGAATTCATCGTTGCTTTTCATTGAGACGAGTATTTTAAGAAAGTGAACCTCGTTTCAAGTGGGGAAGCAATATAAATTAATTTTAAAACACCTGTCGGCTTGTTTGCCTGCTCTTAACCGTTGTTTGTTCTTTTTACAATGTGACACATTCACTGCCAGCATTTAAATTCAGGATTTAGTTTAAATGCCGGATGTTAAAGCCCATGAATAGGGTTTTGCATTGCCTGAAAATGAAAATAATATTTCATATGGAAGTGCGGCGTCGTGAATAGCAGCCTTCAGGTCGCAGATTAATTCTGCGTTGAGCAGGAAGAATTCTTGTTTTCCTTCTGATGTTTTTAGCATACATTGCAACTTCATGGAGCATATTTATTACCTTTGGTTGTGGTAATACGAGTTTGTGGCTTTTCGTTTCTACTCGACAACATTTGGTCCTGGCTGGCGAGAGGGCAGACACGTCAAAGGTGCTGACAAAGTGCACTGTTGATCACAACACGTACACACATGACATGGATTTTGCTGACCATTAGCTTTTTTTTTATTACATCATAATACACAAGACAGCAAGTGGCCAAGAGAAGTGTTCTTTTATTTTCTGTGGGGTGCACTTTCATCATCCTCTTCATCTCAACAGAAGGTCAGACGTAACATTCCTGGGCCACGTAGCAGACACGATTTGAGATACTAAGTGGTGATGATGTGACACAATTCAGTCTTTCTCTGATGATTCCAACATCTCGCCAAGAACTTCTTCTCATGCTAAGCCAGCACACAGCTTCACGTAATGACCGTTTAAACAACATCTAGGCGATCCTGGTATTAAGTAGTGGTTCGCTAAATTGGAGTTTCTCAGCACTGATTGTATTGAAACAGAGTGCCCTCGCCTTGGCAGTGAATGTGTTTAAAGACGGCTTCACTGTACTAAAAAAAAATATTTAATTAAAATACGGTAATAGAAATATGGTGGTTGCGTATGTTTGCATTTTTGTGTGAAAGTATAAATTGTAAGAAATTAAGGAATGATGTCTTGGTACTTATATTGGTCTTAACCCTCCATTGGAATGTTCAACAAGTAAGTACATTACTAAGCAATGTATGACAATTTTGTAACATAATTTTGGGAGACTATAATTAATTAGTTAAACACTTTCAAATTTTTACACAGAATAAGCAAAATAATCTGTAATCTTTCACACCGATTTGCATTTTCTTCAATGACAGTACAAATGACTGTTGTAATCAGAGTCATTACTGGCAATCCAAGTTGTTTCAACAAGGAAATGTGAGTCCCGTACGTACTTGTTAACGTCGCGTAGTATGTTGCGTTTTTCTTCTAAGGAAATTACCTTTGTTTCCTTTTGCATTGCCATTATGCCTTGTCAGACGTGCAAATTGAAATGAAATAACTGTAGCGTATGCAGCAGACTCAGCTAACATATTAAATGACAATAACAGCTGACTTGAAAGAAGTCGCACATCAGAAACTAAAATGACACTTGCAAGATGGCGACTAACTCGCAGAGTAGTCGGTATCGCAAAAGGAAAGTTTGCGCTTCGCAGAGAAATGGTGTAACAGCTGGGAAATTCAAATAAGGTGGCACGTATTTTGTGGGAGCAAAACTATTGAACTGATAAAAATATAATAGGAATGGAGAAAAGATTGTGTAATTACGGAAAAGCACGCACACCAGGAATGTAAATATGAGGTTTTGCGATAATTATATTAAAACAACGGCGATCCGTTCGTCTGCCATAACGTAATAGACGGGACTGATCGAAGAACAGCGCTGATCTGAAATTTGGCAGTGCGTGTTCATGACAGTAGCGCAAACTGCGGCCCTGGCACAGCCAGCAGTGCCCTCTTTTCGTGTTCCTTCTTTGGGTTTTATTGCATCTTGAACAGTTTTCCAAACCATGACTTAACCTCCAGTACTACCAACATTGAGACACTATGCTGAGTCTTGACCTGACCTCACTGTGTGCTTGCTGTTTAGGTTGACTCGCCTTTGCGTCAAGATCAAGATTGTTCTGTGTTCATGCATTTTGCAGTTGAAGTTGGTTACAAGTTACTGGAGCTCGGTCAATGTCCAGGCTGTATCTGTGTTACCCCACAAGCAAATGTGGCTGTAATCTGCCAGATTCTGATAATGTGCGTAGTCTGTTCCCTGCATCCTCATTTGCCTTCAGTGATGTTCTCAAGGCATGTTGATCTCAGAAAATCAAAACATCATAAATGTACGGTGCTTTAGCTTCGAGAGCTTATGCTGAGAGAGAGAAAGGTGTACCTGTGTAGTTGATGCTGGGGGGAACTTGCAGTAAAATTAGACACTCCAAAACCTTGTAACCATCTTAAATGATGACTTCGTGTTACCCTACATAACGGAACAACTTCAGCATATTAAGTTCAGTGTCAAGTGAATGCGAAGAAAGAATGGGAAGAGAGATCTCCCTCAGTTTCCAGATCTTCCAGAATAACACACTGAGATATAAGCTGTACAACTTTATAAATTTAAATGAAAGCTGTATAAATTACGATGGCAACGGGGTGGAGTGTGGCACAGCGCAGAAATATTGTTTTATGTTATTTTGAGAAGCAGATGACGACACTTGTATGTATTGAAAAGAAAATGCTTAATGAGATTGAACAGGTTCTTTAAATTCCTTGTTTTTAACAATTCAAGTTACAATGGACAGCATGCAATATCTGTTTATATTGCCTGAAATTATTACGCCCAGTCTGGTGTAGCCCATTTGTAATGCAGACCTTGGATTGTTTCAGCGCGCATGTTCGACTATTTTGACGCAGGGATCATGGAAGGACTGCAGCATCGCCTGGTGAACATGACCGAAGTGCAGACTCACGGCAACGTTGGATCTGCAGCTGGCAACGCCGTTTCACTTCACAGTAAGGTATGATATCTCCCATACCAGTGTGAGACTCTTGGTGAAGGGGCGTACATTTTGGCATAATTCACGATCACGATACAACGCTTTAAGCATTTGCTGTATCACCGGAAGTACAGGTGTTGGGTTACTAACTTTTATAGCATGGCAGCTTGGTGCTGAACCCTGATACAGGGCTTCGGCAGAGTGGAGAAAGTCGCGGGAGCGTTGGGCCGGCAGGCGGTCCGACCGACGTCGTCTTTCAAGCAGAATGGGTCGAGTTTTGCATAGAAAAGTCCGTGATCTAATATACTTAATTTTGTTGCAGCTATGAAGCTGAGAGTTGGGTTCAGGAATACAAGAATGCACTTGAAAAAACCTGATGCTCATTAGGAAACTATTCAAAATTGGATGATTGGAAAAAAAAAATTAAATATTGAACAAACCGAAATTTGGAAGAAAAAAAACCCTATTCATTCATCTCCAAAATTGTCCTTTCTTTATCTGTGCTTATATAATTTGAACTCTGTCTTAAATGAATAATAATGTTGGCATTTCGTTCAAATTAATAGACGTGCATTCTTGTGCTGCTGAATTTCAGTGTCTCGCCAGACCATTTCTGCAGTCTTTAAGTTAGGATGGTGTGGAGCAACGTGCATGAGTTACGTTCTCTTAAATGACTTCGTTGATCAGAAGCAGGTGACAGTGCAGGTGTTGGTGTTTCATGTACAAAATAAGCACATTTGTGTTTGTTACAAAAAAAATGCAACATTTTGAGTTTTACACAGTTGTAAAAAGTACAGGAATTTCAGTCATAGTAACATTGTCATGTTTTGTCATTGAAAGTGAGTGTACTTGCCGCTGTGTAATCTGAAGCTTTTACGGCGACTAAGTGCGATGAATTTTTCTCCAGCTACCGGCAGTGCCGGGCATTTGAATGTTTTGAGAACCGTGTGCGTCCATGTCCTCAGGGTATTCGGTGTTTTTTTGTCTGTTGGACGACGTGACGCTGTTGGTAGCCCGGGAAGAATCCGTTGCACTTGCCACATGTTAGAATTTTTCCTTGTTCCTCATTACTGAGCTGAGACAGCAGTGCCCGACAATTCCCCTTATCAGCTAAGAACTCGTCATTTGTGAGCAGATTAGTGTTAAGAGGAAGGACTGTATTATGCCCTCACATAAGCACAGCCCAGGAGTTACTGGCATCCTGAAGTGGAGGTACAGGGGACGCTCTCTCCAGGGTACTCTCGCGTGCTCGTCGGAGGGTTTTAGTGCTGAGTTGCCATGCTGTAACAGTCCTGTTTGCCCATCATATTCCCCACTATTGCGATTGTCCCACTCAAGGTCTCAACTTAACTGAAGGAATCTGTCACACAAGTGCCTGTGCCTTTACAGTATTTCTCAACACTGGTTATGCTCATTGCAGGGTTTCCTCTCTGTTGTGTGTGTAATCCCCGTTTGTCGCTCAGCGTGACAGCCTACCTTTGATAATCTGTGTCTCTTACTGTAAATTGGGTTTTGCAATCCACCAAAACTGTGTTTCAAATCTAAAACTTCTTGACAATGGTGAAGATTCAATTGAATAAAAATTTTCTTGGATATTATCCATCGTCTAGAAAATATAAAACGTAAAACGACGTTTCGGAGATGGGACTCTATCTCCGTCTTCAGGTTCCTACACAGTTGGGCCCACGATGGATAATATCCAAGAAACTTTTTATTCAAAGCTGTGTTTCCTCGTATAAACACACTTTACTTGGTTCCTGGTATAATTATATGTAGTAGGGGGCATTTCATTAAAACGCGGCTCTGACTGCTGCAGTATTTGTAAGTTTTGATGATGTCGGTATAACAAGGCAAACGAGTTGTTACTTAGTTTGTCGGTGTTCATCATGTTCGAGCATGAGCAAGGTATAGCTGGACGCATCCATATCTGTTGCGTTTATACTATGGGGTAGGCAAATGTCACTTTCGGACATATTGTTGCTTAACAGCGACCTTCGGTCATATTGGAAGAATGACCTTTGGCACAGCAATGATCTAGGATCACATTAGTGCAACAGTGGCCTGCGTGATGTGGCATGAAGAACGCCTTTTGAATGTTTGTGTACTCCAAGGTGAACATTTTTCCATTCTTGTTATTCTTGGGAAGAACTCGTGTCCACCGCCTTCTTGAAGATGCACATTTCTGTGTTTTCTTATGTGTTACAGCTATTTCTCTTTAACGCCATAGTGGTGTTCGTGGAGAACGCTGTGTAATGGAAAAATTGTTATAGTAGCCGTTGGTTCGATTGGAATTAATAGGTTAGGGGTGAAGAGGTCTGATTTACCGTCGTGAAATTGATTTTCTATAGTAGTTAGTCATATCAATTTGAACTTTTTACTTTTCTGTAAGTTTTCATACCTGCATTTATGATTTTATTCTCAGAAATTCTTTACTTGGATCATGTTCCATCCAGCATGCATTACAGGAGAAGTAACTATACTTCTTTTGTGAGGATGTGCGTTACTAAATGCTTCATGAACAGCAGCATACGGTTCTGATGGAAAGTAATGTTCGAGAATGAACGCCTTTTGCTTTTCACCCGCACAGCTTCTGCGTAGCTGGCATGAGGTGGCGCCTAGCAACCAAGGGGGCCATGACTTGGATAGAGCCTATTACATGAGTCTTGATCTACTCCTGATTTTATTTTTGTACTGTAGTACATGACTGCTGAGAAAACGATACTTTTTAAAATCAACGCGAGCGTCCAAAATCAGCTGCAGTGATATCGAAGCAGTTGAAGAGTTACATACCTAGGCAGAAAAGCTGCAAGAGATGGTGGGGCTGCGGGGAGCGTATTCGGAAAGCCGGCGCAGCACTCGTCCAACTGCGCCCAGTGTGGAGAGCCAGGGAGATCACCAAAACTACCAAACTTCGAATTTTCATAACAGATGTGAAAGCTGTTATTCTGTGGCTGAGAAAACCTGGAAAGGCGCCTCTGATTTCACTAATAGAACCCAAGTCTTCATTAACATGTGCTTGAGAAGAATCTTCCGCATTATTTGGCCAGATGTAATTTCTAACAAAGAACAAATGAAGAACCGGTTGCGTTCCAAATTAAACGCAGGACATGGAGATGGATCGGGTACACGCTACAAAAGATACAAGATGCTATCGAGAAGCAAGCGCAGTACCGGATCAGTGGAAGTGAGGAAGATAAAAAATGAATTGGCAGACAAGTGAGGAGGAAGAGGCGAAGGGAGGGAGGAGACAGCTGAGAGCCTTAACAAGGAACAGAACCCATTCGGGCTGCTTCGTGGAGACTGTGCTCTGGAAAGGAGTGACAGGACTAACAGAAAAGACTGGCTGTTGACTTGTATTTTAAATTGTAAACTCTGTACGTATGATACGTCACCCACTTTTCCACTCTTTTATTTGTGCATGCTCATTTTCTCAGCATGCATAATGCTAGATTATATTATATTATATTATATTTTATTTTATTTGATGTTCTCATGGTAGTAAAGATGTCAGTTGTTTTTCTGGGTTGTGATGCCGTGTGGACTCGTAGGTAGGGCCAACTGATTCAGAGAACCAGACTGTCTCCAACTCAGGGTGAAAATCTCCGGAGTGTTGGTACCTGCCTAGATGTACGCATGGTGTCACAACCCATAAAAACAACACTGACGTAGGTTAAAAGGAGTGGCCGTTAACAGCCCTCGTGCTGTAACTGATACTTTTTTGTTAAATGATGAGCAGTTTAATTTTCTTCAGTTCCTCCATGTCTTGACACGCATATCAGATGTACGCTGTTTTATTCAGATAGTTTCTTCAGGGATTCATGGCAGTCCCGTACTATCTTTGAGGTGATCGAATAATTTTCAAGTATTTTTTTCGCAGCTTGTCCGTCTAGTAGAATATAGACGTTGCTATTTTCATATCTTGTATTTATATTATTGATTATAATGCCTCTATGGCATTACCTTCTGCCTGGCATACAGCGGTGTATTATTCAGGGCCTGAGCAAAGTCTTTTCGTAGTGCCATGTCCGTACGCCTCTACGCAACTGGTGTCATCCTATGCCAGCTCTCTTTAATGGTATTTTGGATCTGCTGGCTTTCTGTCGGTGAGTTATCGTTCTTTTTATTCTCTTGCTGTGAGTTATGATGTACTGGCTGCTTTTGCGAGTCAGTTCTCATGGCCGTTATGTGCTGAGACAGTAAGAAACTCCTATATGAAGTGATAACCCAACTTGAGCGTTGTTGTGCTCCGGAAGTAGATGCTGCTTTCAGCTAGCAGTATACTAATTCCTCGCTGAAGTCTTGGGAAATAAATAATAAAGTAACCAAGGCAAAATAATGCATGTGTAAGTCCTGTAAATGGAATTAATTAGTTGATGTAAAGGAGACTGCAGGGCAAAACACTTGCACGAGCTCCACATAGACCGTCGTAGTTCATGGCAGTGTTGCAAAGTAAACAGGTGGCAGATGTGTTAAGTTTATCCTTCCCAAGACATTTATCCGTACAAATTTTGTATGCACTTCATGCTGCTCTACATTTAGCCAATCATATCTTATTGTGTATTTCGTGCACCAGGTGATGGCACGACGTGTGCAGCCAGATGGACGGATGCAGGTTTTGGTGCGCTGGTATCCTGAAGACATGTGAGTACAGACATAAGTAGTTGGTACCGTCTGACGCACGCGTCTGACAAGGAACGTGTTAGCCAACTTGCAGTCTGCTTACAGTTTGCCGGATGAGTGGGTGGCAGAGACGGAGGCCCAGAGTAGCCGCAGCGTGCCGATACCGAGCCTTTCTGCCGCTGCCATGACGACGCTCCAAGGCGTCCTGTTTGTGCCTGGGAGGAACAAGCAGCGTCGGAAACCCGCGAAGTCCACGTGATGACCGGACTGTCATTAGCAGGCTTACGTAACAGGAAAACTTGGGTAAGAGAAAAACTATAGCAAATAAACATGTAGGGAATGTAGGTGGGCACACCTGCCAAAAAACCAAGACAAATGTGAAAGGATAATATTAATCTATTCCATCCTAATACTGAGCCTGATTTATGGCACAGTAAAAGGCCAAAGCAGTTGCGGTCTTTTTCAGATGGTCTTAACCCCAATGTTACTCAATTTTTTGATCATTATGTCCGGGATATCCCACTCTATACAATTCACAAATTATTTTATTGTTCAATAGTGAATAAGAGGTTTTCTACTCTTTGCCTAATCCAAAGCCAGAAATGATATAAGCATATAACTTCATTATTCCAATCATTTATGATCTGAAGATTTCTGTCTTCTGGGTTGTTGCGCTGTGTAGTCTGGTAGATGTCCACCAACGTTTCAGAGGTCCATGCTGCCTCCGTCATCAGGGCGATGAATGAAACGTTTTCCATTGGTAATCATGCCAGTGGCTCTGTGTTTCTGCTGTCAGATCTTGTGCCATCTTTTTGGTTTCCTAATACTGTGCAGAAGTGCCATGTTTATTGACAGTACTCTTGCATCTCGTCGTTTCTTCAGAATAGGGAAGTGGTTTGAATTTAATCTTCTCTGACATCTGCAATTCCAGATGATGTCTCTAACAGTCTGGTAAAAATATCGCAGCTCTTCTGATCCCCCCCCCCTCTCTCTCACCCCGACACACAATTTAATTAAATATTATTATCTTGAGTAAGAGAAACATTCCATCACTTTGTTCGTAATGCGATTACATTTAAGACTATGCCCGCTTGTGCGCAGGTGGAACACCGTATTATACCACATGGAATCATAAGCCAGAATACCGCTGTCAACGTCTTCACTTCAGTGAGAACCACAAATCTCAGGCCAATTTTTGTAGTTTCTCATTGTGCCATATTTAGGACCTGTGGTGTGCGACGGTAATATTTAAGCAAAATTGGTCAGTAAGTGAAGGGCTCAGATTTTATTTCTGGCTTCCCCCCCCACCACCACCGCATCTATAAGGGCTGTGGATTCTACGCAGCCTCACGCAGTTACGTAATCGTCCTTGTGTTCTGTTTGCAGAGTTTCACTCCGGCAAGAGACAAGAGAAGAAGATGCACGTACCAAAGTGGACTGGACAGACATTTCTAAGAAAGACGTGGAATTCAGTATTTCAGTTCCCTCTCCTACTTCTGAAACATGTTTGAGCTAGGCCTAGTTCATAGGACGAGCTGTTGAGTGTTAGTTTGTGTATAGGTCTGGTTAAGCTGAGTAGAATAATATGGCGAAGGAATCTGATTTTCCTCCAAAGCAATCAGCCTAAGACCACACTGCCAAATCGTGTGACCGCGTATGTATATACATATATATATATATAGAGAGAGAGAGTGAGAGAGACTTTTTTTAACATTTCCTTCATTGGCCAGACTGTGTGTGCGTGCGTGCATGTTATAGTTTCTTCCTGAACCGCATGCCTTGCGCACATTTAGCGCGCGCACTTCTTGTACATATGGTATGAGACATTTAAGTTGAAGGAAATGGTATAGCGATTTATAATTTTTTTTTTTTTAACCTCATAATTGATTATTTATGACATGGTGAATATAACAGTGTCAGGTTTTAAGGTGAAAAGAAAATATGAGCCAAAAATACTAGACACGTGTAACGATCACTGCCATTCTGAACTGCCGCTGTCTGTGTGTTTGTCATTCAGTTATTCGTGTTTGTTTGTAACGGAACACCAGGCAGACTTAGCATAGTTGGAAGGGAATACTTCTTGTTTTCCCTTCTGTTGTTTATGTTGTCACTTTACTGCACTGTGCCATAATTTATTAACTTTAGTGGATTTGCATAAGAAAATCAAAACAACGGCTCAACTTCCCTGATCTCCGTAATTTAGGACCGAGGAAGGCCCGATTCAGCGCGCTCAACGTATGTTGTTTGTATTTGCCTTTAACTCTAAAACTGGGGAATTGTTCGCGTAGCGTGACGTCAAAACAGAAGAATCGACGGAAGAGTCGTTTGTCGAGACGAGATGCCCTACCTTGGCGTTGCCATCATTCATACTATTGCTTGAGGTTCTTGATGCACAGTTGTTGTTTTTTTTTCATCTCTGAAGTCTGTGGTACCAAAAATAAAGATAGGGAAATTTGTACGGTCTCTGCCTGAAACATTCCTTGATGGGTGGCAACCCTCGATTCTTTTGGTTCACATTTTAGTAATAATTACCAGTAAGAAAAGCATGCAGTGTGTCGGTGTGGCTACACTGCTTCTGCCCTGATCGTGGCATATTCAAAACAGCGTGTTCCCTTCCTGCATTTACTGGTGTATGGGTTGTACATAGCGTCGGTACTGCCACTACAATTAGTACTACTACTGATAACAGCTGTTAACTGCTGTAATGGATGACCAGGTCATTCATTTTACATTTGTTTTTGTTTGTTCACGATCTCTAATGACATGCCACCTCATCTGCATTTCATAAATTGTGTTACTGCTGCCATCTGGAGGTTGCAAGTGGAGTGACTTACTGACTATGAATGAACGGGTGTGTCGCAAAGACGGCGGTGGGCAAACATGTTATAAGGAGCCTGCTTTGAGCTCTCTGTTGAATGATTCGGAAGCAGGAGAGCTTGGCAGGGGACACTGGGACGTTCAGTACGAACTCATGGGAAAATCAGGGATACTTTAAAGTGATTTTAAATTTTAAATTCGATAGTTTTCTAACTACATGCTACTACTGTGAGATATATTTTTTGCCAAGACTGAAAATGCAAGTTCCCCTGCCCCAGTCATAGTATGGACCCGAGCAGCAAGGATGATGACCGCGGTGCAGCCGGACCGCGTCTTTGCTCCGCACCCGTCTCTACTCTCGTGCCTTCGTGATTTACTTGTACATAATGTGTCGTGTAGCGGACATATCCAAACCCACCTGAGCAGACTGTTATTTGACCCGGGCTTTCTGGTATCCGTGCTGTATGTATGTATGTATGTATGTACTTGTATATTTGTATAGAGGAGTATCAACTAATTTATTTATATAAAGAGTAGGACCTAAGACTGTATTTTACTACTTAAGAGAGAAAAGTTGTCAGTATTAGTTGTTTAGAGACGTGCATGTGCTTTGAATGTCGGTAGAGCAGGTCCCTAATCGTTTTACAAGTCGCTCGGATGAAAGCCGGAAAGCCCGGCCGTGAGCGGCCGCGTGCCGTTACGTCGTCAAGTATGGGATTGCCGTGTTTGTGACCCCTTTCCACTCCATTTCTGTCGGTGGTCCACACTGTGCACGCTCTCACAAGAGATGGCACGGCTACACGCGAGAATGTCGGATTTATCCCACTGCCAAATTAATTAGTGGACGGTGTCAAAGGTGGGAGTGGAAAGGGTCCAGTATCGTTCTCTGAGCTTGTCATGTGCATTGAAGGCGGGTTTCTCTGTCTGTGTAAATGTTACCTTTCACAACAGCCGAGTGATGGCGACAAACAGAACGATCTGTTTCGAGATGTTGCGGCACGCTGTGTGGCAGCTCGACATTTGAACAGTCATTGTTTTCAAGGGTGGAGAAAGCACAATTCCACTTATTTTATGCATTTGTGAGAGAAATCCACTGCGTTGTGTTCTATCAAAACATTTCAGAAACTTTTTTACGTTTTTTTTATTTAAGTTTGTAGGTGTGTAGTCAGGATATGTAGTTCTAGTGAAAACAAGGGAAATTTGCTGTAAATGAGTTGTTTATCCTTTTAATTATAAACAAATTTATTTCATTTTTAAAGTAATTTTTTTTGAACTGCTGTAACAAAATCTACCTCAGTTACTTTAAGGTTTGACCACCATGGTTTGTTCCGTTCCCACCTGCACAAGCATGTGCTGCTACCTGCCCACCTGCCTGCCAATTGCTACACTTCGAGGAACAGACTGGAAATGGTGGCATTTCACGATAATATTGTGTATAGATTACTTCATTTTCTTTTTAATATTATTATTTGTGTGTGTGTGTCTGTCAGAGGGTGGGTGCTGTTAAATATCAAGAATGAATGTTCAACTGTTATTTAAAGAAATATAATGCTGTAATGAGGAATGGTGCTCATTTTATCTTCCCGCCGCCGTCTGGCAACGATGCCGTCCGCTACGAGGCGTCGAATTACTGCGGTTACGTTGATGTGACGAAACCGCAGACAGTACGTGATTAAGTGCTAAATAAAACGTTTCAAAATTTTCTCACGCTGAACTGCGTTGTTGCCAACGGTGTCTTCCCCATCTCCTAGGCGCGTCCTCCGACAAAGCCCGCAGGTATGTCACAAAAATTAAATGATAGAAAGCATACCATGGTGCATCAGCCTCGGAAGAAGAAAATGGTGTCGCGTCGATAGTACGCCGTTTTCTTGCGTGGATGAATGATCCAGAATTATTTCTTGAATCCTTTCCAAACTGAAATGAGTGTTTGTGTGTGTATAATACATGCTCTGTCAATTTTGTTTGGTCTCGGTCTAGCACCATGTGGACCTGTAGGTAGATACGAGCACCTTCATCTTCGGGGCTCATCAACATTGACATTCACTGCCATGGGATCCTCAAATAAATATTCTGGGTTCTCAGTGATGATCCATTATGTAATTTTCAGGTGGGTCTGAAATCATCCAGGATGCCCCAGGAGGAAAGGTCATTCACTACTGTGAGATATATTTGTACATGTGTCATATGTATATATATATATATATATCAGTGCCGGGTTGGCGAGAATCCTGATCCACAAATTAGCCACTCGGAGGGAGACACTGAAGTATTGGAGGCGGCTGGCTGCTTCTGGTTCAGTGCCGATGTCTGACTGGCTAGCATTTGAATAATGCCGTAGCCAATCACAAACCACCCTCTGCTTCCAGATAACTGCACCTTGAGTATCCTAGAACTCTGATCTAAAAGTTCATGACGATGGCGAGTTATTTAAATAAAAAGTCCTTCGGATATTTTCCATCGCCTAAAATAATACACAGTTTCAATTTTATTGTGTATTTTATTATTGTAGACGATGGAAAATATCAAGGGACTTTTTATTCAAATATCCTAGAACTGTTCCAGATGGCAGTCATGATGTCTGATTCACCTAAACATTGAAATTCATGCCAGGTAATCAAGGCCATTTATTTGACTGGGGCCACAAATGAGTTCAGTGGAAAAATGAATGAACAGCTTAATGTGCGCTTACTTTGAGATACAGGTAGATGAACACTTTTTTCATAGCCCAATATATCTGCAGAAAGTGCATAATTAGAAGCTTGGTACATCTGTATGTTACCACCTTAACAAGAGAAATTTATCTCCAGTGATTTTTTGCAAGGGCACGTAAACCGTGATGTGGGCTCCTTAGTTCTCTGCCACTGTTGCATCTTGCCCACAAAAGCATTGGAAGGGAAATGGAATCCCCTAGAAGTTACCAATATTATGGCAAAACAAATGTACCCTTAGGCATTATAAACAATCCTGATATAGTGCCATTCCATTTTGTTTGTGGCAGAATATTCACTTGAAATGTACTGTGCTTTAACAAATAGAACCTACTCAGGTAAGAAACCACTTCTCATTACCCAAAAACTAAACAAGCCATTCAAAAACATTACAATAAAAATTATGTTCCTTAAATTTTTACAATGCTTTGTGATGTAAATATATTCATTGCAAATGTAATAATGTAGTTATTTATCTGTGGTTAAAGTTATTTGCAGACTTGAAGAAGTGTGGTCTCTGTATTGAGGTTAATGAAAGATCTTCGTACAGAGAAGAGTTCCGGGCAATCACTTAATATGCATTTTCATTTGGCTGATTATCGATATGTTGTACTGTTTGCACCCACTGAATGAATTTTTCGATATTATTATTATTGTAATCATCAAAATTATTCTTGTTTTAGAATACCTCAGCACTGATGCGATTGTTGGGGGCATTTTATAATGTTGCATTTACGAAATAAACTCGCTTCACTTGTAGACCAGGATTAAGCACTTACACTATCCACTTCTGTGTGTCCTTAATAACGAATTATATCTCACTTTTACGTACAGCTGTCTTTAGAATCATTACCCTACACCGTATTTAATTGCGTCCAATAGTCGACATCAACCTTTCTTACATAACCTCTATGGTTCTGTTGAGAAGCGATGTGCCTGGTCCCCCCTCCTTTCGACATCTCAGGCTGCAATTTGGCGGGGCAGTGGCCAGCAATCCTGCTTGGTATTCGAGGGGTCCCAGGTTCGAATTTCAAATCTGTCCATGATTAATTGAATAAGCAAAGGGCAAAACAAATTATAACAATAATAAGACACAATGAAATATTTTGTGTTTTATATGCTCTTTGGTCCACTAATATCTTATTTCCGTGGCCAACTTGGGTTGCCATGCAGACTGACGTTTCATGATATCCCCATATCAGATTATTGCGTCAAATGAATATAATATATTAACAAAGTATTCGTCACCTTAGATTCTACAAGTTGTATCTAGAATATTCCGTGATTTGCTGAACGTTTCTTGACCATAAGGCTGTATTACGTGCAGTGGCAAGTCTGATGGGACCTGTACTCGATACGTATTTTCGTCAAAATCCATTCAGTGTCATCGTCGTTGTTACCATGTACGTAGTACAAAATACTCAAGGCTACATTTTGGTTCGTCCAGTTATCTTGGTTGGGACCCAGCATCTGGCTGCGACTGTACTGCCGATTCAATGTGCAGCAGACAACGGAAAAAAAAAGTCCATGCAGTTTGATCCCTGCTCTGCGAGGGGTGGACGAACTTTTCAGGAGACGGAAGCTACTTCTGAAGATTGCAAGGTTTTGCAATGTAATCCACGTTATTATGGAATCCTCCATACCTCGAGGGGCCGTAGTGGGCGCATGCGTGAAATTACTATTGTCACACAAATTCTGTATTATGGGACTCTTCACAGGGGGTTCTTGTTACGGTAGTTTTGGTGGGCGGGTCAGACCTTTCGAAAACACATTTCATAATTTCGCTGAAGAGGAAACACTTGAATTACGAAGAAGGGTGGATCAATTATATAAAAACGTATCTTCGAGAAACAGGTTGTGTGGGGGTGCAATTGTGTTGGCAAAGTCTGTCTTTTTGATCAGTAGCGTGACATGCAATAATGAAAGAACAAACCTTTTGTTTTACTAAATACTTTTTATTTAAACAGAGTGATGCGCATGCGCATTCCGCACGGTATCGATTTCGAGGTCAGGACGGGCCCAACTTGCGTTGCAAGTTCCAATGCCCGCTGAGGGGCCGGCGATCTATAGACGTGTGGCCCCGTAGTGCGCATGACAGCAGTGACCGAACAGTCTTGATCTGAGCCGTGAGAGAAGTGGACGTGTGTTTGTGCTTGTCTCTACTAGCTGTCGTTCATCTGTCAGAGGTATGCTCTCGTCACACAGCAATCAATACTGCTCTGCGTTTGAGGTTCGAACCTAGGACACAGGGAGGTCAGCAGTTTTGATGCCGATGGGTCCTCTCGCGAGACCGGTTTATTTGCGAATTGCCACATTCCAGGTGAAGTTACGTGGTTCAGTGCTCAGTGCAAGTGTGCCTTTTTTGCGGACCACAACACCGGTCGAATGGGGGAGAGTGTTGCACTTTGGGGTAAATGTAAATTTGTTCTTCCCACGAAAAGTTTATGGGGCGTGGAAATGAGGCTCCATGTATTCTAGGCCGTGGCGCTAGGTGGCTGTGAGTGATGCGCCATATCCCTGGCCGTAACCAGTCTGACATGTAAATGCCCCGGGCCCGTTGCTAGCGTCAGATGTCCACCATCACACATCTCTGTAACCATCTGTGGACAGATTCTGCTTGTAGCAGTTGATAAAAAAGTCCTGTCATTGTTATATGAGATTCTGGGCAGTCTAGAACAATGTGGCGTGGAAATAGTTTTATGCTTGCGGGTACAAAAGTCATGGCGACGGACGCCTTGTTCGTAATTGTATTTTAAGCACAGTTTTTGCACCCTAAATCATTGGCCGACTGCAATTACCATGGACTGGAGATCACCGTCGGGACGTATTGACGTTAAAGGGGCGACGTGGAGGCATGCAGACTCTCTGTCGTGACATCTGTGAATTAGTTAAGGTTATGTTTTTTGGTGATTGAAATATTTCGCTGTGGCAGCCTGTGTTTTTCTATGTGAGGCGCGCGAAACCTGTCGTGCAGTTTGGTGCGTTACCCGTTTGTGCTGTTGGATTTACGTAGAAGCTGTAGGTCTGGTATCAAAGAATTGAGAAATTTTTATTACATTATCTCAAAGACCGTAATTACTTTTTAAGAAATTACATAACTTAAAAGTGCCATCTTACTGGTGGCTAGTTCAATTATTAGTCTTTCCTTGCGTCTTAGTCACAGATGATAGATAACATGTTTTAGAAAAAAATCACTGATATATATTTTCTTATTATCGTTTCCCCGTTTGAAAAGAGTAATTTTAAATTTGTTTTGGTGGCTAATGCGAAAACCTTTTTGTGTTGGAAATCGATACTAATTGTTTCGATTACTGCGAGTCGTGGGAATGCTTATCGGAACGGAAAAGATTTCAATAAACGCAGAGAAGCAAATCGAAATTCAGGCACTTGTGATCGACTACAATTAATGAAATTAAGTTAATAATTAAATTGAACGTGGAATACGCTTATGCTTTATTTTGGCCGCAGAGCTTTTGATAAAGCCGGCCGCAGTGGCCACGCGGTCTGAGGCACAGGCCTCGTGGTTCGAGTCCCGCTCGAGGCTTGGATGTTTGTCCGCGTCTTCCAGTGTTTGTATACGTAGAGGCCTTGCAGATAGGGCTGATCGCTCATGCAAGGAGTCCTACCATTGTCCGAACAGATCACTAAAATGAATAAATACAAACCTCGACACCTACGGATAAAATAGAAAGAAAGAAAGAAAGCTTTTGATAACTGTTTATTTCATGTTTAACCACGTCCAGCGGGTAATTCGTGGTCTGTTGGTACTCATTTTTGGCATGAATTTTGATGTTTTAAGAAATAAAAATATATGTTTCCGTTCAGTGTGAAAGCTCCACGTATTATTGTTGGTGCTGAATCACACTCCTTCGCTGCGTTATCTCCGGATGAGGAAATTACGTGCAAGAGGTTGATTAATTCGAAATCCGTCATTACTGTCTGTGTGAGAAATGAAGAGGTTTGCTTAATTCAAAGAATTCTGATGCGCACGCAAACCATCCGGTACGTTGAAAATACAAAATGGCGCGCTGATCGTTGCGAAGTGTTCGTCATTTGTTATCGTGGGTGCGTTTGTGCCCCTGTGAGTGCAGTCCAGGAAGGCGAGTGCCAGGCTTCGTGCAGCTTTCTCTCCGCGTTGCGTAAGTCAGATAACGCATCAGTGGCGTATACCGGTCCCGCCAGCGTAATAGTCGCAGGTATGAAAGTGTCTGGCCTGTTTTGGAATCGTAATATCTCTCGAATTTGTTTCGATCCGTAGTAAAACTTTATTCTACGAGGCGTGAGGAGTATTTGTGTTGCTGATGTTGTGACTGTACCAAACACGAGACTTTTGCACGATAGTTATTAATTTATTTTCATGTAACTTATGCGACGAACTGGTTTGCCATTCAAGTTGTGGTTATGTTGGTTCATTTCATAAACATAAGACAGAAACAAAACGAAAAGTTTACTAAATTCCTGAAATTCTGTCGTGTTCTCAAGTGACACAGATGTAAGATCGTGGAGATTTGATGATAAAATGTCTCTGTGTGGATTTTGCTTTCTGAAAGCCAGGAGGCCATGGTTTATTTTATAATTTTCTCTGATGTTTTTAATCTCAGTGGTGGCTCCCACCTCGTTTTTCTGAAAGAAAATGCAAAACAAAAATTGTAAATTATAATACTTTTTTGTATCTTCAGATACAAGTTTTTGGGTTCCAGCCTCAGTGACGTCGTAACTAATAATTTTTTTAGTGAGTTGCCACGTATTTCCTCAAAATTGATACCACATATTTGTGTATAAAAGTGTCCTTAAGAAGGA